TGTATTTGTATTCGTGGAGACTACTCACTATTCACTACAGCACTATTCAACTCAACTACTTGATGCCAAAACAGATTAACAGAATCTTATTATACTGTAGTATCAAAAATATTTCAAGTATTGCAACCATTGCAACTGAGGGCCACTCTTTCACCGTTTGAAAACTAATGCTAACAACAGTCACAAGTAGCTCAGAGGTAAGGTAGGAGGCTCATACCCTAGTAGCACAAATATGTATTTTATAAATATTTTATATATTTAAAGTTGTATTTGATAGAACCTCGAATAAAATATATATATAATATATATTTAATAGTAGTTTGATATATTCAAATATATATTTAAAATATTACCAAAAAGCAATGCAAAATATAAATTAAATATAAGTTTTGAATATATAAAATAGATTTATAATATATATTGGTAAAACAAGTATAGAATCTATAATATACATATTTTATATGTATATTTTTCCTATTAAATATTTAAAAAAAATTATGTGTTGAGAATATTTTAAATATATATATAAAATATTTTTGAAACTATATTATATATTTAAATTATTTATAAATATATTTTGAAACACGTCAGATATTTTTTATTAATAAAATAATATTATATTTGTAGAATATATAGCCTATAATCTTTAATTAGCAAATAAATAATTTGCATCTTTTCGTTTTTTATAGTGTCTATCAATTTATACATGCATTTTTTGTATGATAATTGCTATTGTGAAAGCGTTAAAATTAAGTTAATAATAATACGTAATCTGAATGGTGTCACTCTATCATACACGTAAAGAAAATAATAGCATATAGTTAAGAGGCAGTATACATGTTCGACAGCTACATTTGGGTCAAACGAAAAAAAGTGTTGATGGGTTTTATTTTTTTAATTGCAATATGTGACAATGAATGTGATCATAGAAATCTCGAATGATTGGCTAGAAAAGGGTGATAGTGACTGGCGACCTTTTAAGAAACTAATTACGGTTGTATATGACGTTCTAAAAATAATTATTTGATTTACACATGCCATAAATTACATAATATTTGTCATAGTATTTAAATTAATTTTTGTAGTTTACTGTATTTGTATTCGTGGACACTACTCACTATTCACTAGAGCACTATTCAACTCAACTACTTGATGCCAAAACATATAAACAGAATCATATTATACTGTAGGCCTAGTATCAAAACTATTTCAAGTATTGCAACCATTGCAACTGAGGGCCACTCTTTCACCATTTGAAAACCAAGGCTAACAACAGTCACAAGTAGCTCTGAGGTAAGATAGGAGGCTCATAAGTCGAAGGTCCCAGGTTCGAGACCCACCCGGGCTAAAAAAATTTGATCCAGTAATTTTTTCAAAATTTGTTTTTATGAACTATTTAATCAATTTACTCTACTGATAATTGTGTTTTTCATACTAAATCTTTATTATTTTGTGTTTTTATGTTTAGGCCCCATGGGATGTTTGGAAGAGATATTAAAGACATTTTTTATTTAAATATTATTCACTAAAATATATTATTGGAACATATTTTTTAATATTTAATAGATTCAAAAACATATTTTTTATATATTTCATATATTTTAAATATTATATAAAATTGACATTAATACACACTTGAGATATATAAAATAGATTTTAAATACATTTATTCATATGTATTTAATATATATTTGTGCTACTAGGGTAAGTCGAAGGACCCAGGTTCAAGACCCACCCAGGCCGAAAAAATTTTATCCAGTAGTATTTTCAAAATTTGTTTTTATGAACTATTTAATCAATTTACTTAACTGATAATTGTGTTTTTCATACTAAATGTTTATTATTTTGTGTTTTTATGTTTAGGCCCCTTGGGATGTTTGGAAGAGATATTAAATACATTTTTTATTTAAATATTATTCACTAAAATATATTATTGGAACATATTTTTTTAATATTTAATAGATTCAAAAACATATTTTTTATATATTTAATATATTTTAAATATTATATAAAATTGACATTAATACACACTTGAGATAGGTATATAAAATAGATTTTAAATATATTTATTCATATGTATTTAATATATATTTGTGCTACTAGGGTTACTAATCACACTTTTGAGGTTAAGCATGAACTCTTGCTGACTAATGCATTCGCTTGTATCTTCATTAAAGAAAACACCAGGAAGTGTAAGAGGTGATCCATAAACCAGTTCCAGAGCCATCTTTATAAAATGCGAGGCCTGGGGCAATACATAATTGCGAGGCCTTGTTTAACCAAGCTCACCGGAGGGTCCGGGGTACGTAAAATTTTGTAAAATTATACTTGTAAAGTCATCATTTTAAGCACTTGGACGAAAAAAAAAATGAATATTTTACACTCTGAAAATAGGCGTGAATATTATTGCTAATTACACATATTATTGTTCCAATTCCAAAGTGGATATCTAATATTGCACACAAAATTCTTTACGATCATTAATAAAAAAAAAACTAACACTTCTCCTTTACTGTGGATTGTGAATTGAATTAACACTTTGTAAATTAAACAAAGTGGCCGGACGACAATTAATAGTGAATGCTTATAGGCTATCTTGTTTATTTATTTTTTGTCAAGTTAGGTTTATTGTGTTTTCGGCAGTTGGTCTGTGAAGGGTTTTAAAGGTAAAAAATATTACATAAATAATTGTCAATGAGATACTTGCAAATTCGTCATTTTAAGCATTTTGATGAAACAAATGAATCTGTTACACTCTGTAAATGGCCGTTAATATTATACCTAATTCCATAGGGTATATTATTGTTCCAATTCCAAAGTGTATATCATAAATATTGTCCACGAAGTTCTTTACAATAATTAATAAAAAAATTAACACTTCTCTTCACTGTGGATTGTCGTCCCGTCACTTTGTAAATAGTAAATGCTCATAGGCTAACTTGTTTATGTACTTTTTGTCAAGATAGGTTTATTGTGTTTTCGGCAGTTGGTCTGTGATGGGGGTTTTAAAGGTAAAAAAATATTACCTATAATTGTCAATGAGTTTTTAATAATAAATTAAAAGAGGTAGTATCATTACAGTGTAATTGATTCACAGTATTACTTTTTACTTTAATGACAAATATTGTCATAGGTTTATGTTTATTGCAAAATGCGAGTAGTTTACAGTCAGTCTTATCCACGCTGATTATCCATTCAATCCAGTAAACATTTACATCTGTAAATAAATTGAACTTAATTAATCATACAATAGAAGTTTAATGGCACCAGTACCAGTAAGAGTAAGCGTATGACTCACATTCTCCGGGGTGGCTGCCGCGAGGCTCGGGTTCCGTCATCGCCGCCGAGCTGTCAAACGTTTGATATTCTTTTGTGTTTTAAATGTCGTTTGTAGGTTTTTAATCAATACAACAATTGATATAGGCTAATTCATAATGTATCTGTCTGTCCTTTATTTTTTATTTTCATTCCAAAACATTAACTTATTTCTAGCGATAGTAAGGCCTCGCCGGAGAAGAATGCGCGCAGCGAGGCCTTCTCCGGCGCGAGGCCTGGAGCGGCCGCTCCACTCGCTCCACCCTAAGGACGGCGCTGACCAGTTCAGCAGCAGAACATTGTATGTCGTCTTTTAATGCAGTACCATTTCATTGAAAAGTATTAAAGTAAAAGTATTAAATAAGTTGTTTCACAGATTTATCTTGGTAAATGTTCTTGTATTCAACAGAAATCAGTAATTGAGATCAGCGCAATCTGTTGGTGGCTCACATCAACTACCACAATTTTGTAAAAAAAATTGGCAACAGTTTTAACATGGCGATGGAATGTCTAGTTGTATCAATTGTCAAAGATAATTATGATTAATTAGTGGTTTGTAACTTTTAGTTAGTTTGTATTATTTACTAATTTATACTTTTGTACTGTTATAAAACAGGACCCTACCATAGATAAAACATAGTCCCTTAGTAGATTTCCCATTCTTATGGAACAGCTGAAGCCAATTTTTAGCTGGGTTTTCCTAGGCGCGGAAGCGGAGAGCGGAGAGAGGAACGCGGAGAGCGGAAAAGAGATTAACATGGTGTTCCGCTCCGCTTCTAGGAAAACAGTAACATTAAATTACCTAAGACAAGTGGAGTCCGCTCTCCACGTTCCTCTCTCCGCTCTCCACTTCCGCGCCTAGGAAAACCCGGTGTTATTGTTAGTTCTGTCTGGTTTTCTGTAGACGTTGTGTTTTCTTTATATTTAATTGACGTAGACAGGGGGGGGGGGGTCCTGGGAGTCCGGACCCCCCCCCTTCTGGTCTTAAATATAATATTTTTTGTTAAATTAAATGTAAAATTATACAAACATACTGTATTGACGTTGGGGTTGGTTACTTTCAATGCCAAGAGAGCTAAATAAGACCGTTTTAGTGCCTATATTTTGAAAAAACTTTCTCAGACCCCCCTTTTACCTGGGGGGTAAGGAATATCCCCCAGACCCCCCGGTCGGTCGACCCCCCTATTTTGAAATCCTTGCTACGTCACTGTTAGGGTTAGTTTCTCATTATTTGTGTCTCACTGTTTGGTTATATAGCCAACGATAGTAATGTAGTAATATAGTACGGTAATATAGTGAACGAGTTATTATTTATGATTAAAATAGTATTATTTGGTTAAACGAGGTTTTAAATTACTGAAATAACAAGAAACAAATTGTAAACATAACAAGACCTCTGCAGTACACCAGACAGAACTAACAATGAAATTGGCTTCAGCTGTACCATAAGGATGAGAAATCTTCTAAGGGAGTATCCATAAATAAATTTACAGTTTATTTCCAGTAAGAATCTATGCTACCAGTATCTATGCTACCAGTAAGAATAAATCATGGATTTTTTTTATACATACAATAACTAACTACTTTTGTGGCTACACGTGCTAGTAACCTAGCCTGATTCTAAATTATATCAGCTGTAACATTCGATTCACAGATAATACACTTCAAAAGTTCATCAAAGTACAAAGACTAAATTTTTTGTTTACACATTTCAACTTCACTCTTCTTTCAACACAACACAATAAAAATTTCAAAGTAAATTTTCCTAGGTATGTGAAAAGAAGCCAACACAATACAATACTTGTAAGTACCATATCCTAGACTATTTTACAAATCACCTCTTTGAAATATTTGCATTATATTGATAAGTTTTGTTTACACAACATATCTGACTTATCACAGTACTTAAAAGGAAGATAGATAAATGTAAGACTATCATGTAAGTTATATCAATAAGTAAAGAGGGCAACTCATTAATTAAAGAAAAGTATTAGCCCTGGAGTGCCCGCATGGGGTAAATAGTTACCCTATACTAGCATAATAGGGAAATTTTATGGTCCTTGTAGATGCTTTTACCGCAATTAGCACAGCATTTAGTAGTTTCTTGGTATAATTTCCTTGGAGAGAAATCACACCTGGTACCAGTATTATTTTGAGATATTTTGTGTGTTGGTTTATTTTAGGTAGGCTAGTTCTAAAGAACTACTAAAAAGAATAAGATTTTTGGCCTGTCTCTTCAAGGAACTGCCCAATTTGTTTTCATAAGATTATTGATATAAAATATGGATTATGGTACGGTACTTGCTATTGCATTAAACACAGATGTTCAATACTGTAATTAATATACAGAGTATCGAAAAAGTCCGGGGGCAGTTAATATTTTTTTAAATATTAAAAATAGAGCTAACAAGCTTTGCACAAAGTTACTGGACATAAAAATATATTTTAGCCTATCACATATTCAGTGATCCGCTTTTTCCTCAGGGCTAGGAGTCAGAAAAAAATCTTAAATATAAGCATATGTTAGTATACATATCAAATAAAAGGTCTTTATTAGTAGAATACAATGCCACAAATTTGATCACAAACACAAATTTGAACACACGTGTAACATCAATGAGAGGTTAACTGTGGCCAATGATTTGGCATCAATTAGTCAGCTGTTTCATTGTGTTTGTAACTTCTAAAACTGATCGGAAATGAACTGTACGGCAAAAATATGCTTTCACCATAAGATTAACATGTAGGCTAGCTAACATTATTGATCGGAAAAGAAGAAAAGAAGTAATTGGAAAAGACAACAAGAGAACATAGCTTATTTTAAATGAAAACAGCAAGTTTCCAGCCGCATTTTCGTATTGAAAGTCGTGTGTCCCCACGTAGTATGACGAAAAATAGATTTTCATGTCCAGTAAATTTGTAAAAATTTTTGTAGTTCTATTTTAAATATATATATAAAAAATTTAACCAACCCGGGACTTTTTGGACACCCTGTATACTCTCAATTACATATCCTCGTGTTTGAGGTCACCACAGTGCAAAAATTTATCCAAAAAATTCCGCCCTCGTAGGTGTATTATTTATAGAATGCTAAACAAACTTTTTCTAAAAAAACAAAAGGAGCATTACAAGCAGCAAAAGTATTACCTTAAATCTCAATAATACACTATATTGCCCTACCGACATATGTTCACTAATGCCAATGCTCGTGCTGGGTGAAAAATCTCCTGCCACTCAGCCAGTATACAGCGCTGGCTTGTATAAGATCTACCATTACAAAACTAGCTACAAACTAGCTTACAAAACTGTATTAACTAAACTTTTCAAGGACATCCAGTAAATGAATAGACTCTGGAAGGTACTCAGAGGCAGGAAGCACTGGGGTGCGTTTTAGCATACTTTCTCTCATATTAAAAATATTCCTGGAGAAAATTCCACCCCCTTGCATTCTAAAGTTAAACACACTCACTGTTCTCAGGAAACAATTGATAATACAATGTTTACAAGTGAAGATAATATAGACAGTTAATTTACAAAAAGTATATTATTTTGCTTCCAGCACATGGACTTATAACACTTATAAACTTACTAGCAGAGCACCTGTCCTTCGTACGGGGTTGGCATATAAGGGTGCGTTCACAAAGAAAGCTGGTTACAAGTAACTTACTTTCAGCGCTTGGAACAAGCGCTTGAGAATGCTGTTGTGTGTTCACAACAAACGCTTGCATTTCAAGCTCAGGAGTGTAGTCTCAGCTCTGGTTGAGACAATATCTTCCTCAAGTGATGAAGAGTTATTTTTGATTCAAAATGTAGAATAAAAAATTTGGAGAAGAAATCCAAAAAATCTGTAGGTGTTCATGCAATTAACCGCGGAAGAGGTAGGTTCGGGGAATATCACCATCTATTTCCTCAATTTAAATTGGACAAAGTGAGGTTTTTTTTCTAATATGAGAATGGAGTTAACCACGTTTAATACATTACATCCTCAAGAAAATTGAAAGTGTTTTAGTGAAGTTTTGGGGGAATTGGCATAAGCAACCTATCCGGCGATGCACCAAAAAGAATTTTGGACCAATAATAAAATCTAAAAAATACTCGAAGGGAGTTTTAAACACCCTATGTAGCTGATTAATTATGATCCAAATAATATTGTGAGATGATTAAAATGTTTTAATTTTCTAGGTAAATAAAGTAAAAGTATACAAGTTTCATCAAAAACATATCACCCAACACTTAATTAATATTGAATTAAACGTGTTTGTCTGTCATCTTAATACATGTTATATTTGTCCTATTGGTTACGTTATTGAACCTCCTAGGGAAAACCACAATACGTGGGTAGCCTAATATATTTGTTTGGAAATTGGAAGCTCTAAATACTAGAGCTATCAACTCATCGACATCCATACTGCACTAGTGCACTGTGGAGTAGTTTGTAACTGACTGGTTCGGCCAACAAGCGCCGGAAAACAAGTACGAAACGTTCTTGCGTTTTTGTCAGAGCTTGTAACAAGCGCTTGCTAGCCGGCACAAGCGTTGTCTGTGAACACACACGCTTGATACTATGTTAACTTTTCTCACGCCGGTTCGAGAATGCAAGCGCTTGCCAACAAGCGCTTGTAACCAGCTTTCTTTGTGAACGCACCCTAAGTATAAAATGCTTATTGCAGTTATACCCAAGCTTTACGTTTGCGATGGGGGGGAGGACACAGTTTGATAAAATTTGGTTCTTAAATTTACGGTATGATATAGTATAATACAACTACCATTGCCCCTTGATTATGTTCTACCACTGCACCTATACAATAGAAAAAAATAAATTATCAAACATTCGCACAATGTCCAATTTTAATGATCAATAGCTCAAATGAAAGCCCTTACATCATTAATTATTTTAGAATGAACTACTACCTGAAGGTAAGGAAAATAATCATAAAAAAATTTCAAAGTACAATACGTATAAAACAAAAAAAAAATGTATTTAAAAACGGATTTCGGCAATGGAATATGCGTGAAAATTTAGTTTATATAGTAATAATGTGTCACAACACTGTCGTTACAACAACAAAAAATTATATCCAATAAGGTGGATCCAAAATGGCGGCCAAAATACGTTTCCCATCGAAATGAAGTACTGACCACCCAATAAATATCGATGTTGGTCCCAAGTCAATATTTAGAAAATTGTGCACAGAAAATGCTTATGGTATCTTTTTTTCAAAATTTGTCCAATGTTGGAAAAATCCGACTGCACACCCTAAACTACAACATAAAACCATAAAACGTTTTCTTGTATTGTTTTTAAGGTTACTGTATATTCTATACTTCTCGGACTAATAAGTAATTGATTTCTGCTTATTCTATTTATGATTAAAACTGAGGAACCGAATATGTAGGTTTACTGCAATGGTAACTGCCAAAAAAGGAATTTTTAGTAAAAAAATATTAAAACAGATAATATGAAGCAGAACAAAAAGTCTTATCTACAGTATATAGGTTTAATGAAAAATAATATTAATATTTATGCTTATTCTTCATAAGATTAACATTGAGTTATCTCGGCAAGAAAACATAGGTCTACTAAAGTTATTACTTTCAATATCTCTATAACAAATTGAAGCAGAACAAAGATTCAATATACTAAATTGTTAGGTTTTTTGTGTTGAATCTAATGGTGAAAAAATAAATTTGAAATTATAACAAACTTTGTACAAAATATTAGAAAAACATATATTTGAGGTAAAAAATCTAATTTTTTAGCACATAATACGCTGAAAATCCATCTTTAAGTTACTTTGTCTGCCTAGTTTTCATATTTGAGGTTGGAAATATAGTTCTACATGTTTTTGCCAATTTTCGTGGAAGTCGGCCAATCCTGGAACTATGAATCGACGATTTTGCCGTCATCTTGTCGATTTGAGGGCCTCGCGGCGGCCGTCTTGGAAAAACCCGATTTCCGGTTGTCCGATTTTGGTAGACTTTTTTCCTGGTACTTTCTACACCTATTAATACCAAAAACCGCCGAAAAACCATTTGTTAGAATTTGTTCTATCTTAGAGGCTTTTTTGGGCTAAATCAAGGCCACACTAAAGAAAACAGGCCGTAATGCTCGCCAAGCATGACGTCACGATAGAAGACGGCTATGACGTATAAGTACTTATTTATTTATTTTCCAATGAAAGATTAAAACAAGCAGCTGATCACAAACAGCAAAATTACGTCATTGCCGTCTTCTATCGTGACATCATGCTGGACCAGCATTACGGCCTGTTTTTTTAGTGTGGCCTTGGCTAAATCGACTCGTCTATATAAGTATAAAAGAGGATGTTTGTATATATATTTGTTTGTTTGGCAGTGATAAACTCAGACACCGCTGAACCCATTGCCACGAAACTTGGTACATACGTGTTGAATGTCATGGAATAGGTTTATACACCATCAATTTCGTGATCCGTCCAATCGGCTCCGCCCCAGTGGCTCTGGAGTTTCCCATGTTAACCTTATGAGAAATGGAATTAATGAATCTTAACAGCTGTTTCAATTAAACAAGTTGGTTCTGTCCTATGATGTTCAATGGCATTAAAGTTACAAGGATTACCAACAGGGTGCAGCACTATTATTTCTTTTACATTTATGACAACAGCTAATTTGCAACCAAAAAGCGTAGCGTGAGTGAGCGTAGCGAACGAACTTCAACCTGGAGGCGAGTTAGCGTAGCGAACGAGCTAACCTGAAGGCAAGTGAGCGCAGCGAACGAGCTCCAACCTAAAGGTGAGTGAGCGTAGCGAATGAGCTACAACCTAAAGGTGAGTGAGCGTAGCGAACGAACTTCAACCAGGACGTGATTGAGCCATGCGAATGAGATCATCTTGAAAATTAAGAAGTTAAACGGGGCAAAGCCCGCGGGATTATAAATAGTCAAAGGCAAGACAACGTCTGCCGGGTTCAGCTAGTTAAAAATAAAATGTTTTAATGGTGATAGTATTCAGAATATTCTTTTTACGTGTTCAGATTAATCGGTGCTATATTATTGAAGGGATGCTGAATATACCATGTATAAGCTAGTTAAACTTCTAATACCTTGATTTTTTTAGGAACAATAATAGTACAAAAAATATACCAGAATGACAAAAAAGAAGGAAATTGAACGGTTAATTGCTAGATATCGGGCTGATATTGCAGCTTTAGAGGAGAGGGAAGAACATTTTATGAGACGAATAGAAATCCTACAAAACATCCTTCCTACAGTCTTAGTGTGGTACATGTGGAAGGTTTCACAATCCAGCAGAGAACGCCCATTCCTGCAGCATGAGACTGAGGAAAGGGCAAGAAGTAAGTTGGAACATCTGCAGAGTATGTTATTGGAACTTCAGCAAGCAGATCAGCTGCTCAAAGAAGAGGAAGATTTGATGAGACATAGGATCGATGAACTTGAAAAATCCTTGACCTTTCCTCGAAACTCCTCTAGGATGATTCACTCTGAAACAACAGGAATATTAGATGCCCAAAAAGACAAAGTTGATAAATTAGATTACCACAATTTAGCATCTAATGTGTTACAACCGGCTAAAGACATTGATTGGAAAACTGTTTCTGAGGATTTAACAAAAGAGGCTGGTGAATTGAGAGACAAACTAAACAATTCTTTACAAAAACTTCAGCAGAGCGAAGACAATGCCAACAATTTAGAGAAAAAATCTTTGACATTGGTGAAAGAGCTTGAAGGAAATGTAAAATTACTGGAAACACAGAAAGGAAAGCCAACACCAACTTTAAAAGTGGTTGAAAACGAAGAAACTACTTTTCAAGACAAATATGATGGAAAAAGTCTCTCTTCGCTCCAAGAAGATCCTGCTTTTGAAAAACAAATGAGACAGTCGGAATCAAAGTCTTTAACACATAATGAGGTATGTTTGTTGGTTATTACTTGTTTTTAATGAATAATACCGTATATTTTTCAAACACACAGTATTTAAAGGGGAAAAAGTCTTTTGTTTGTCAGAAACTGTATTATGTGAATTTAACTATGCCATATGTTTTAATGTATAAAAAGTTTTGTGATATTAAAGCAACATCTATATAATGAATTGTAAATTAGAACGTCCAACATATTACTACCATAGACAAGGTAGAATTATTTGTCTTTGATTAAATTTGAATGTATGCCTATATCATGTGCATGGCTAGTTAAAAATGGTTTTAAGATTTCAAATTGTGGGAATAGTAATCAAAAAGTTAAAACCGATCTTATACATTTATTTAAAAGTGGGTTATGTGAAATAGCCTAGTTTTCATTAATTTTTATAACAAATTTTAAGATTTGAACAGTTTGTTTCTAGCCTAACCCCCACAGCTAGATTCAATAGGTACTTACATAATTTGATCATCATAGTTTAAGCTTGAATTTTGGTTTGATTTATATTCAACAATATATCTAATATAAATGATCCAAATTTGAGATGCCATCTACAGAATCCCCTAAACTATAAGATCTATTGAGCTGAAAGGACTCTGGCCATGCCTTTTTGGTCATCTCAAGGTATTCAGATCTGTGAATTCCATCAGGTCCAAATTTTTTGTTATTCAATCTAAAAGCCCTTTTGAAACCAGAGGAAAGAACCTTGGTTTATAAAGGCTGCAAAACCTTTTTGTACCTTATTGTTGTTGAAAACCATTGAAAAAGATATAAGTGGTCAGAAAAAAAAAACAATCAGCTTACCATTGGCAGTTAACATAGAAAATTAAACCAATACCATAAAATAACATAATATAGACAGACAAACTCTATATTGATTTAAAATTTTTAAAATTTTTGTTGATGTCCTTTTTAAAAGTCTGGCTATTTTTATTTTTACTGCTTCAAGATAGGGGCAACATTTAATAGTTTGATAAGTATTTAATTTATAACTTCATTCATAAACTTATATGATAACATTTTAGGATAATTCTATGGGACCACTAGCAGAAGTTAGTCATGTTCAAGATTTGACTTCCTTGCTCTCAAACTCCTCAAAAGAAGGAAAAACACATGAAATGGACAATCAACCATTGAAAACACCAGCTTCTATATTTAATGAACCAGTATCGGTTGAATTAAAAGTAAAAGATATGTCATTAAACAACCTATCAACAACAATGGAACCACAACAAAGTCCCAAAGAGTCTTCAGTCTTAGACAAACTTTCAATCTCCTCTACTGCCAAACCTCAATCACCTAATACATGGCCCAGTACAGATGGCAACAAACCATCTAATGGTACAGTAATTGGCTCTTTAGTTTCAAAAAATTCTATTTCAAACAAATCTGAGCCTGAAATGCCTATGTTAGTATCACCAGCTGTTGTTGAAGGCTCTTCCGTTTCTAAAGTTGTAATGGATACCGCTGAAGACCATTTTCCAGATGCCCTTGCTATTACTTCAGAAAACATTTTGGAATCAGGTAAAAATGAAATTTCTAAATTAGAACAAAAAGTTTCAACACATCTAGAATCATTACATCCGGCTGAAGAAAGTGTGCTCAAATTAGATGTAATCAGAAGAATCAATTCAGAAGATGTCCCTCAACTGACTTTAGTGACAGACCCTCACTCAAAATCCACTACTAGTCCTGAAATCCAAGAAGCTACTTCAAAGATAGATGTAGTTAAACAACCAACATTGAATATTTCAAGAGAGACTTTGTCAGAAACATCTCAAATTGCAGACATTGAAGTTGGTATTGATAAGAGGAAAAGTGTAAGTGGAACTGAAGGTGAAATGTTATCATCCTTTAAAAAAGAATCAGTTTCTAGTCCAACAGAAAATAAATTGTCGACTCCTGAAAAGCCACCCATCTCTGGAGTTTCCCATGATGTCACCCGGTCTGTTTCCAAGGAATTTCCTTCTAGAGGTGAATCGTCTTTAGCAGAACTAGAAGATTCTCCTGACATCAATCCAACTTCTCATGTTCTGTCTAATACGCAGATTCCAGTTATCTCACCCAGTAGAACAAATATAAAAGATACGATTTCTGAATCCGCTAGTGATCAAGCTCATGATTCTAAAGTTGTAATGGATACCGCTGAAGACCATTTTCCAGATGCCCTTGCTATTACTTCAGGAAACATTTTGGAATCAGGTAAAAATGAAATTTCTAAATTAGAACAAAAAGTTTCAACACATCTAGAATCATTACATCCGGCTGAAGAAAGTGTGCTCAAATTAGATGTAATCAGAAGAATCAATTCAGAAGATGTCCCTCAACTGACTTTAGTGACAGACCCTCACTCAAAATCCTCTACTAGTCCTGAAATCCAAGAAGCTACTTCGAAGATAGATGTAGTTAAACAACCAACATTGAATATTTCAAGAGAGACTTTGTCAGAAACATCTCAAATTGCAGACATTGAAGTTGGTATTGATAAGAGGAAAAGTGTAAGTGGAACTGAAGGTGAAATTTTATCATCCTTTACAAAAGAATCAGTTTCTAGTCCAACAGAAAATAAATTGCCGCATCCTGAAAAGCCACCCATCTCTGGAGTTTCCCATGATGTCACCCGGTCTGTTTCCAAGGAATTTCCTTCTAGAGATGAATCGTCTTTAGCAGAACTAGAAGATTCTCCTGACATCAATCCAACTTCTCATGTTCTGTCTAATACGAAGTTTCCAGTTATCTCACCCAGTAGAAAAAATATAAAAGATACAATTTCTGAATCCGCTAGTGATCAAGCTCATGTTTCAAAAGTGTGGAATGCTTCTGAAAACCCTAATACTTCCAATGACCTTGTAGCCTCACCACACAGAGCACTTTCCTCATTTGATCCATTGATTTTGAATGAGACTCCTTCTCAACAAGAAGCAACACAAAGTTTTCATGATGTCTCCCAGACTCCTCCTGAACCAGTTACCGGTATGTCGAAAGATAGTATGCCCTCCCCATCTCAAGAAACAGTTAAAACAACACGTGTGGCAGCTAATGATAATTTTATGGTTAGAAAGCCTTCAATCACGCCTGCTAATCTTCCTAATCTAGTGGAATCTCAAAATGATGATGTGGTAATTTCACCCAACCCATCAGATTCGGAAGAGGTTATGTCTGGTCTGAACATAAAAAAACTATCTATATCTGAAACACCAATTACAAAAGTTTTTAAAGAGGTTTCAAAAGAGAAAGTGCTGCCAAAATCCTCATCAAATCTTAAACAAATATCATTCGGTTTGGATAAAGGTGTAACTGAAGGAGGAAGAGAGGCTTTGCTTTCAGAAACAGGAGTTTCAAAAGAGGTTCTTCCAAAGGAAAAGGCAAATATTCTTGTTAATGAAATGCAACAATCGTCCTCTAATCGTTCTGGAGAATCAGAAAAAAAGCCAAAAGTTGACCTTATATTAACCAAACATAAGATTACAGATAAAGTAGAACCAATTGAGTCTCATCTAGTAGGCTCGACAACATCAGGGAATGGAAAATCACCAGTGTTTCCTGTTATTCAAGCTACTAAAACAGTTTCAGAGCAATCTTTAGTGCCCGGAAATGATGGAATTTTACCTGAAACATCTGAAGACAAAAGTCAATTCAAGGAATCTATAGACCATCCAACCACTGAGGCTGAAAAGACTTCACTCAATCTATCTGGCTCTAGTACCCTGCCAATGCAGACTAAAATCATACAGGAATGTCCAAATAAAGAACTGTCAAAAGAAGAATTTTCCTCCTCTCCCCTCTTAGTACCCGCATCTCACTCAAAGAATCTCTTGTCTCCCTTCCAAGACACCAGTCATTTTAAAGGGATGGATCTGGATAAAGTTGATGTAGAACCTAAAGTTACTATTAAACCATTAGAATCAATACAATTCGTTCCCTTAAAATCTGCGGCCGATAGAACTGAAGGTCAAGCCATAGTATCTGAACCAATGGAGGCTGCTTCCACTGGTAAGTATAATAACTTTTCTATATAGTAGAATAAGTTAATTTTTCCATCTAAATACCCCATTAAAAATTAATTATTTGTAAGTATAGTATAAACAAATTGTATAAACAATCTGACACGTACTTTCTCCCATTAGCTTGTCAAAAACCTTTAAAAACGCTTATCAATGTTAAGCGGTGGGAATACCACTGATATTTTAGAGAGACATTTTATAGGGAAAAAATCACAAAAGTCGCAATATAGTTTTTGAACCGTTTACAGCAATGGGGCTTGCACTATTTTGTTTACAATAATTGTAAACTTGTTTTATAACAAGTGGAGGTTCTTATAATTATTATAAGAACCTCCACACACACATAACTACTAAACCAATATACCAACATATTTACTAATTTTAATCAAAATCGGCTTTTCCTGTTATTTTTTATGAGTACCTATATGGAAAAATAACAAAAGTTACAACAACTTTTGAACTGTGATTTTTAAAGCAATGAGTTGTACAATTTTGTTCAAAACTTAAATGACTTAAACTTACAAAGGCTACTCATTTTTTATCAAAATTGTTCAGGTCATTTTCGAACAAAATTTAATATTTCCGTTATTTTATAGGTTTTATGGGAAAATCACCATTAAAAATCGAATGGATTCAGGGGGGCCCAAAACGGATACATCCACTAAAAAAAACTCTAACTAAAAATTTTTGACGAAAACAATACCTTCTCCATACTTTTGGTATAGGGGAAGAAAGTAAAAACACCTTTTGAAAAAAATCTATTTGGTAAAATGTACACGTACATTTGAAATTTGTCAGGTTTTACTTGATTGATTGATTGACCTTGTTCTGATGCTTAGGTTTTACTTATTTTGTAGACATATATGATGAGTGAAAATTAAAAAACGTACGTTTTCAGGAAAAGCACTTTAACATTTTTTTCCGGTTTTTGAAACTGTTTTTATTTTTTTAATTCATTGACATTTGAAGTTTCATAAAATGTTCATGGTAACACAATATCTTTGGTGATTTTTAGCGAATTTCCCATATAGGGAATAAGCTATTACCGTAGTACTCATGGTAAGACCTGGACGCGGGACCGATTTTTTTTTCGTTTTGAGGTCCCTAGAGGCCAAAAACACCATCCTTTCAAATTCATATATATATATATATATATGTGTCCGTCAGCACGATAACTCGAGCAAAAATGATCCGATTTTGATGAAATTTGGTACAAACGTGTAAACGTACGTTTATTCGAACGAGTTCGCGATCCAGCATGATCGGACCATGGGAACGGGGGTTTACGGGGGGTTTTATGGGGTTAAAATAGGTTTTTCCCATTTTTGACCCAAAAAACATAAAATTTAGCAATTTCTTTCCAAACCATTTTGTAGAGCTTAAAAAAACAAATAATTTAGTATATTGAAGCGTTATTATGCGCCTAATGGTTACGGAGAAAATACCAAAAAATTGTACATTTAAAATTCCCATGTTATTCTTATGGAGAATAAGTAAACTGTTGTATTTTGCTTGTTTGTGAACATATTTTGATCAAATTTGGAAAATGTTTTTATTTCTTACTAAAAAAAAACAGTTTACCCTCCCTGATGCAGCAAACCTAAGTACTTGTTAAACTAATTCTATTTAAATCAAGAATAAATGTTATATTTTTAAGTAGACATTTCAGTGTAAATCCAATCAGTCAAATGGAAATTCGCTTAGTCTGCAGGTTTGCTGCGGCGGGGGTATTTATTAATATAGCATCTTTGATGGAAAAACACGAAATTTTGTCACGACCATCACGGACATAAAACTGAATATTAAAAATAGTTAATACTGTATTATTTTTGTAACTATGTTTTGCTATAAATTAATTTACTTTTATGGCCATTATACAAATAAACAGCTCACTAAGCTTTTGGTATATTTGGTCTTTCTAGAAAAAAATAAAATAAAATAAAAAAATTTAAAAAAGCCAATAAAATCTTTTAAGTTTGTATAACTCCAAAAAAATTTACCTGAGACCCGAAAAATTGTTATGTTTTTATAGAGGTGTGCTTCTTTTGTGTATACAAAATTAAAACATGATGATATCTTAATTTTGAAATTTTTATGATAGAAATCATAAACGTGATGGTCAGGGACAAGCGGTACGGACGTGAATTGTCTGGAATAATCTAAATCTTTCTAAACAATCCTTCAATTATACTCTTAGTTATAATAAAAATATGTGTTTCAATTGAACTAAACTGTTCAATTTACAATGATATTTAAGTTATTGTCACGACCAAACACATTATAATCCATAAGGTTGGATTGCTCGTGAAAAAACCTGCGATGGTCGTGAAACCTTGGTCGTGACATTACGTGTTATTTGGCTCTGTTCTTGTGGTAGCCCTGCACCTCATGTTCGAGGATACAAAGTGGACTTCTAGGTTAATGTAGCAATTGAAATATCATATCAACAAAAATTAACACCACATCTACTTCATCAAATGACTACGTATGGTCATGGACACACCAAAATTACAAAAAACACAAACTTACCTTTATTAATCTTGTAACTACTTCTTTCAACACAAAACGACCGGCACAACAAACTTGACGTACACCCTGAACTAGTCTCTAAAACGAACTGACGCAATCGACGCCAGGCTTGCCACTGTCGTGCTCCAAAGTTTAAAAATTTTCCCAAATGGTCGTGACGCCAAATCGAGGGACAGACTTATTTTGTCATGGTAGTCAGTTTGCAATGACAAAAAATAATAATATGCTCCTTTGTTGTAAGTTTAATAACTATTAATGACATAAAAATATGGCTTTATATTTTTCGGCATGAATAATTAGTCTAAAAACAGCGAGAAAGTTGGAAAATGTACCCTAGAGACACGTCATGGTCGTGAATTTCGAGACTTTAAAAATACAAAAAAAATACCTAGAACCTATTTAAAACCAAATAAATGTGTGTAACATGTTGTCCCCGTCCCAAAAAATATTAAAACACATAATAATAAACTACAAATCCAGTATCTACGAAGTAAAAGGCCAGGGACATGAAAACGTACGTTTTTAAATTTTCACTCATATACACTACAGTGGTAAAATAATTATGAACAAAAATAGACCCATTTGTAATTTTTATATTTAAAAAAATCATAGACCCACGTAGCATTTTAGCAGTCAATTAAAAATTTAAAAAAAATCATTCAAGGTGTCCTTGAAGGAGGACCTTTAGGACCATGCTATATCTCAGTTACATGACTATAAAAAAAAGAATATCTTTTGCAAAAGTTAAGTTTTCATGTTCTCTGATACAGTTATTATCGACATACAAAGTTTCATGATAGTGAATTATTTTATTGCTAAAGAGGCATCATTTTTTCAGTTACCCCATTCTTACTTTAATCTATAACTTTTAAATCACCATATGCAGTGGCGGTCTCAGAGGGGAGGGGGGTGGGAGGGATATATATTGTATATTTTATATTCCCCCCCCCCCCCCCCCGAAATATTTTATATTTTATTAGCTAACATAAATACTATTAGCTTGAGCATATTTTAGAGCTCAAATACGTATAAATATACGTTTCTAGGCTTTAAATTCCACCTTTTTTTCTGGGGGATATTCCATACCCCCAGTGGTCATCCAACCCCAAAATGAAATCTTGGGAACGCCACTGACCATATGCATATTCAGAATTGCCTTATCAACAAAGCAGGGTAGCAAAGTGATTCAAGGAAAACCAACATGGTTATGATTGGAATGATGGGATGATGGTTCATTAAATATTCACATTTCTTTTGCCAAAGTGTTGATGTGCATATCCCTGCACAACAAGGCCTCTTGGTATGGATTTTATAACATACAATAGGGCAAAGCAAAGTCAAATATAGCCTCCATATGGTTTGTATTAATAATTAACTAGAGGTTGTCCAGTGGTCAAAAATGCTGGCCTAGAATTAGAGTACCCCCCCCCCCCCCCCCCACACCCTCGATAGAATGGCCCCCTCCGAAAATTAGCCCCGGAACCGCCCTTGTTACAATATTATAAACTATAATTTATTATTGTAATATTTTTAGTTTTTACTTCCCTCACAAATTCATAATTCAAATGTTTCAGGATCCAAAACGACTCTGCATGATAGTAGTTGTTTACTGCAGGTATTTTTTAAATTCATCAGTCTTTAATTGTTATGCTTTAGTTCATTTGAAAAATATGCACATAAGTGCCATAAATTATTAAAATACCAGTCCACTACTGAGTATGAGTGGTACAAATTCAACAAACAACTTGTATTATAAAAAAATATATAAAATATCTTTTTACTAATTAAATACCTAGCACACTCCTTTGTCAATAAAATTTACTTCTTAATAATAGAAATAACTTGTAATTGTTATATTAAATCTGTTGTATATTCCAATAGTTATTTTAAATTATAAACTTGATTTATAAAACCATTGACTATTGGAAAATAGTCAAAGATACAACCCTCCAATCAGCAAGTTAGCAAAATCGCTTTTAGAAATTATGTATTTATTACAAGAAATGTCATCAGCATTCTGACAAGCTTTCATAGTCAAAGAAACAAAATACATATATAATACAACTCTTTTAATTGAAGGTACCATATCATGTTGGTGAACCGAACGTTACCAGTTTAGCAATGCAGACGTTGCAAGGCAAGATGCGTGTGAAGGATCACCTAATCAAGTCATTAGCTGATCATCTTCGCGAGCTGGCTCGCAACAACGTGTGGTCTGGAAGTGCCGCACTAGAGGCAGCAGCAACCACCGATCCAACTACATCATATGATTTTGACAGGAACACTCTCCTACTCTATGTAAAAGGAAAGGAACCAGAGAGTTATGTTCCCTCTATGGAGGTAAAAGCATTTTGTCTTAAGCAATTTTTTTCTGAAAATATACACGAGTTAATTACCTACATAAGAAACTATACATAAGGCCATGTAAAATATGGAGAGTTGATTGACTGTATATGCTATAGTTGCATAGAAGCTTAAGCTATTTTTTGTGACTCATGATGGTAACTCATTTGTCGTTCCCTAATAACAGACATTGCTTATTTGGGAATCATCCATGTATCTAAAGAGTTAAGCTACGATTATACTTGGAGGCTGGCGTCCGGGATGCTGGCGTCTGGGATGCTGGCGTCCGGGATGCTGGCGTCTGGGATGCTGGCGTCCGGGATGCTGGCGTCTGGGATGCTGGCGTCTGGGATGCTGGCGTCCGGGATGCTGGCGTCTGGGATGCTGGCGTCCGGGATGCTGGCGTCTGGGATGCTGGCGTCCAGGATGCTGGCGTCCGAGAGGCTAGCATCCCACTTGGATCCGAAAATGACGTGATTTATGTTGGGATGCTAGCCTCTCAGAATGCTATTTTATTTCAATGTTTTGTCACTTTTTGTATATATATATATATATATATATATATATTTAAATAACATTAGGCTTAACGACTATCCAGGTTTGCTGCTTCAGGGAGGCTAATAAAGTGTATGTTTAACAAAATATTAATAGCTTAGAATAAACAAAAGTTTGATCAAAATATATCCATAAACAAGCAAAGTACAACAGTTAACAATTTTTCCATAAGAATGGCATGGGAATTTTAAATTTAAATTTTGTTAAATGTTCTCTGCAACTAATAACCGTACAAAAAAAATTTAGTTTAGGCCTACATATTTTTTTTAGATTTGTGGGTGAAAATGAGAAAACCCCTTTTATACACCATAAAACCCCACGTCCCAGCTGGGAGGCACAAAATCGAGTGTCCAGTGGTTTATTTTAGCAACCGACGCTGGCGTCCCTAGTCTGATTAATGCCTAGTCCCAGTTAATTTAATGCCCCGCTAGTTTCCAGGACGAGAGCATCCTGGATATCAGCATCCTAGTATAATCGTAGCCTTTGACATGCATATTTGAATTTGTTTTTGATTTTGTTTTATGCTTTCATAAATCTGAATGTTCTCCAGACCATGGTAATGTGTTTATCAGAAAGTTCATCTTAAGTTATTACATGTGCCAGGGACTTTCTCACTTCCTGTCCTGGCAATCATCATCCATTACCCCCTCCCTTACACTTTTGGGCTCACTGAAGGGGTATTTTTGGGAGTTTGTAATTAGTTTGTTGAATGCAAGCTATAACAAAGCAACCTCGCCATCCAAGGCTAATTAGAGATTAGTGATCTTAATGACCCTCCATGAAAAAATAGGGTGCAGTTATGGCAATCGTCTGTTTTCCTTGTTTTCTCAAGATGGGGATTTCAGTGACCAACTTAATAACACCTACCATATTTTTAAGCATTATTTGGGTAATGGGTAGTATATTTTTCAATGTATAGCCTTTCTAGGACTAGTTTTTCTACAACAAAATCAATATTTTTCAGACCAATGAAGACCCAAACTCAAATCCCCTTAAAGTTGGGATAGTTCGTAGACTTGATAATGATAGCCTATTGATAAAGTGGGAGCGACCACTTTCAGCTGAGACAGTTGGATTTCAGGTAAACAAGTTCCAAAAAAAATTCATTAACACTTAGCCACCTTTTTTGTATTTTTACACTGTAAGGCTTTTATTACAGTTGTGGGAACAGTCCAGAAAATAACCTTGTTACTAATAAGGTGATCTGTTTTTGGAAAATATCATAAAATAGCACTGACAAATAGCAACTATGTCTTTTCCTCTTGAATGGAACTTCTCAGGATTGGATTTCAGATCTTTAGGCGAGTATCATAACCACTTTGAACTGAGTAAATTTTTATCCCATTCCCATGTTATATATTATTATATCTGTTAGTCTGGACTCATTAATTAATTTTATTTCTATTTACAGCTGATGTAATATTTTCAATTCTAAGTTTGAGAAATGAATAAAAACAAGACATTATTTTAGTTCTTACAATTATGTGTTATAATTATTTAATTCAATAAGTACGTAACAATGGCGACTCAGAGGTGAAAATAAAAAGATTAGGCATTACTTACAAGCTTGAAGAGAACAGGACATTCTAAATGGATAATCAAGAAGTGACTGAACATAACAAAGCAATATTGGAAACATTACAAGCCCAAACTGCTGCTCTTGCCCATTTAGTAAGACAACTTGCAAGTCATAGACCAGAAAACAATGGGGAAGACAGTAAAGTCACAACACCTAGCTTAAATTCTTCTGTAACCTTTGAATCTTTTGATGAAAAAGTGGAAACATTCAAATCTTATAAAGAGAGATTAGAAAACTTCTTTGAACTGAAAAAGTTACATGGAGAGTCAAATGAAATCAAGGAAACAAAAGCAAGAATATTGATAAATGCACTCGGTGCTAAATATTATTCCCTTCTATCAAGTTTAACAGCACCTGACCTTCCATCTTCAAAAGACTATGAAACCTTGACTGATTTACTGGAGAAACAGCTCTGTCCACAGACAAATGTTCTCACAGAACGACACATATTTTTTTTAAGGGAACAAGGTACTAATGAATCAATTTCTGAATACATTACAGTTTTAAAACAACTATCTATATCTTCAAAATGGAATTGCCAAGAAAAGAATTGTGGGAAACCAGTAAATAGCATTTTACAAGCCCAATTTATTCGTGGACTTCGTGACAGTGAAATTCGGGAATAGATTCTCCAGCAAGGAAACGAAATCAGTTTTGAAAAAGCAGTTGAAATTTCACTAGCAATTGAAGCTGCTAAAATACAAAACAAGTTATACAGTACCGATACAGATGTTAAACAAATTTCTAAATCCAGATCATCGAAAATTGTGTCTCGTTTCGATTCTATGAGAAATAAAGCTAGAAAAAGCCAACAATCATCTAGAAACTTCAAGAGAAGAAGTCTACTTACAGAACTTAGATTAGAAAATACGTGTTTACGCTGTGGAAAGAATAATCACAAAGCATCAGATTGTAGATCCAAGAACCTTTATTGCAAATCTTGTGATAAGCAAGGCCACATAGAGAAAGTCTGCATTTTATCTCTTATAAGGCAGCCAATAAAGCAAGTACAAGAATCAGAATCTGAAAGAAGCGACGTAGATTATGAATATGACTGCAATCAGGTAAAAACTGTACCTATTTATTACAATTTAGGTGAACCTCGAGACGATCCTTTTGTAGTCACAGTCAAGGTTGGTGGAAGCTCAAAACAATTTGAAATTGATTCTGGTAGTCAAGTTACTATAGTATCATTAACTGATTTTCAAAGTTTGAAACTGAATTGTGAGTTGAAACCATCAAATGTAAGGTTTCGCTCATATACAAATCAATCTTTTTCACCAATAGGCGTAGCAAGGGTACCAATTTCATTCAAACAGATTAAAACTCACGGTAATTTGTATGTTGTAAAAGGGAACTACACTCCTATATTAGGTAGAGACTGGATTAGAAAACTAAACGTACAAGTATCAGCGGTTAATATAATAAATACTGGTAACCGTTTGGACCCAGACAAGAATAATATCGAATCAATAAAAACTGAAATCTTAAACAAGTACAAAGATGTATTTCAATCAAATATAGGTGTCATTCCAAATTTCAAATGTTCTTTAAAACTGAAAGAAAATGCAAAACCCATCTTTATGAAGCCTAGACCTATTCCTTATGCCTTGTTAGACAAAACTAAAAGAGAAATACAATCCTTAGTTGATCAAGGGGTCCTAGAAAAAGTTGATCACTCGGCGTGGGGTACTCCACTAGTTATTGTTCCTAAGCCAGATCAATCTGTAAGGATCTGTGCAGATTATAAAATTACACTAAACCCTCAACTAGAAGATACTCAATATCCTATTCCCAGAATCGAAGATCTTTTAAATAAATTAAATGGAGGAAAATACTTCTGTGTTTTAGATCTGCATAAAGCTTATTTACATGTACAGTTAGAAGAAGAAAGTCAAAACTATGCTGCAGTTTCCACTCCATGGGGAACTTACAAAGCAAAACGACTCTTTATGGGTATCAAAAATGCACCAAAAGAGTTTCACAAAATCATTGACCAGGTAGTATCTAACTTAGATGGAACTATTGCATATTTTGACGACTTTCTTATTCAAGGGCATTCTTTTGAAGAGTGCTATCAAAGACTAGAAAAGTGTCTCCAGACGTTGAGGAAATATGGTTTACATGTAAACATGAATAAGTGCAAATTGTTTCAATCTGAAATAAATTACCTTGGACATCGTATAACAAGTCAAGGTGTCACTAAATGTCAAAATAAAATAGAAGCTGTTACAAAAGCACCTCGTCCAACTAATATAGAGGAAGTTAGATCATTTCTCGGGTTGGCACTGTACTATGCAAAGTTCATTCCAAATGCATCTTCAATAATTCATCCATTAACTCAGCTTCTAAAGAAAGATGTTAAGTTCAAATGGAATAACAAATGTGAAAACGCTTTCAATCAAATCAAAGAAGAAATCACAAGTGAAAGAGTGTTGACTCCATTCAATCCGGACTATCCTGTTACGTTAGCTACGAATGCAGGACCTACTGGTCTTTCAGCAGTACTGTCCCATGTCATAAATGGTCAAGAAAAACCCATCGCATTTGCTTCCAGATCCTTAACTAAAAGTGAAACGGCTTATAGTCAACTTGACAAAGAAGCCACTGCTGTGTATTGGGGTATTAAGAGATTTTACCAGTACCTTTACGGCAGAAAATTTATATTGATTGTAGATAACAAGCCACTTCAACAAATATTCAATCCAAGGAAAGCCATGCCAGTCAGCTCAGCACATCGATTATTAAGGTACGCCCAATTCTTATGTGCATTCGATTACGAAATCAAACAGAGACCATCAAAAGAACATACAAATGCAGACTACTTTTCTCGAAATCCAATTCCTCTGGATGTAAAGTTGGTGAACTTCCTTGAAGACTCATACAAGGTAAATCAGACAACTCTTGACATGATTACAGACACCTCAGCTATTACCGCAGACACAATCAGATTAGAGACAAATAGAGACCATGAATTACAAAGCCTTAAAAGAAAGCTTCTTGAAGGAGAAATAAAAAAATCCAGAATTCACCCTTCATTCCGGTATTATTATGCGAGGGTCAAGGGTTTACATCCCTAAAACACTTCAACCAACAGTACTAAAAGAATTACATTCATCTCACATTGGAATAGTGAAAATGAAGAGCATTGCTAGATCATTATGTTATTGGCCTGGCATAGATGCTGCAATCGAAAGCATGGTAAAATCATGTAAAAGCTGTGCTGAAGTAAAAAACAATCCAGTCAAAGCCCCTCCTCACATTTGGGAAGAACCTCAAGAAAACTGGCAAAGGATTCACATAGATAATGCCGGCCCTTTCAAAAATCACTATTTCTTTGTGGTTGTAGATGCCAAATCAAAGTGGCTGGAAGTAAAAATGTCCTCAAAAGCCCCTACCTCAATAACAAAAATACATGCACTGGATGACCTATTTTCTCGATATGGACTTCCTTACACCATTGTTTCTGACAATGCTTCTATATTCAAGTCTGATGAGTTCACTAAATTCTGTCAGGATAACGGGATAATACAACGTTTCTGTGCACCAAACCATCCTGTAACAAACGGTCTGGCTGAGCGATCAGTACAAAACTTGAAACAAAAACTCAAAGCAATGACTGAAGATACAGGAAGTCTGATGGAAAAGCTGAATCTTTTCTTATTTAAGTACCGCTCAAGCCCTCTTAACAATGGTAAAACGCCTGCAGAACTATTTATGAACAGGACTATACGTATTAGATTACATCTCAGACGTCCTATGGGAAAAATAACAAGAAAAATACCTGATGATCATTCTGCCAAAATAAGATTACTAAATACAGGAGATAGAGTTCATGCCAGACACTATGTAGGATCTACACAGTGGAAATTTGGTACAGTTTTACAACGTTTGGGAAAACTTCATTATATCATCTTATTAGACAATCAAAACAAAATAAAAAGACATATTAACCAGCTCAGAAAAACACAGGTTGAAGCTAGTGGGTTATCAAAAACACCAAAATATTTTCATAGATACCAAGAAGCAACCCAAATCATACCAAGTCAAACAAATGTTTGTAGCTCTCCAAATGTCTTGCCATGGAACACACCTTTAGGGGATCCTGCACCATCAAGTCCCTTTTCTCCTCAAATCTTACCTCAGCCTCCAATGGATTCCTCAGAGATAACCACATCTGGATCAAACATGGATTACATAGTGTCAGAGCCGCCTGTAGGTGCTAACCAACAAAACATTGAAGAACCTCCAGCATATGTTGAAAATATTGTAGAACCACCTGTTCATAACCAACCACCATTGCAGTTAAGACGATCTTCGAGAATAAGGAATTTTAAGAAATGTAGTTGTTGCAAGTGAATGATGAACTAACGTTGAAGTCAAGTGGGGGAGAACTGTTATATATTATTATATCTGTTAGTCTGGACTCATTAATTAATTTTATTTCTATTTACAGCTGATGTAATATTTTCAATTCTAAGTTTGAGAAATGAATAAAAACAAGACATTATTTTAGTTCTTACAATTATGTGTTATAATTATTTAATTAAATAAGTACGTAACATCCCATTTAAGGAACATTATATTACCATCATTGACCCGGGACCAATTTACTTTTTTAGGCTTGGCCAATTTACAATAGTAGGCTTGGTTAATGTAGTAAATAATTTACTCAAGAAAATGACGGTAGAAAGAGTTAGGAATAGTGCAGGAATATTTTTAACAGTGAATAAGGTTTTACAAAATAAGTGTTTAAAACATTATAACATTATTGTTGAATGATAAGCTTCAAGCTCAATTCATTTATATCGTGAAAGGCAAACTAAGTTCAAGGTATTCACACCCTTCAGGATGCATTAATACAATTAGAAATAACTTAGTTATGCTATGCAAAACTACACCTAAGTGAATTTTTTTGCACAGAAAGGGGTTTGTTCTGTTAAATAATATTTTAGTGTGTAGATTATTAACTTAAACAATTTTTGATTCTGTTTAGATTTTCCTGAACGGCCAATTCATGTACTGGGTACATTCAGCCAAACGTAACCTAGCTCTTCTTCACCCTTTAGATCTGAGATGGCGGCTGGAAATCAATGTAAGCGCTATCGATGCATCTGGAGGTACTATTTCACGATCTATTTTTCTATATAAGCCCGAGTGAACAAATGTTAGGTATATATATTTTTTTGTAACCATTATATTTATTTTATAAAGCAATTGCAATCCATACACACCTATTTGTTGTAATTTCATATGCCAATTAAAAGTGATATGATGCATTTAAAACATTTTGATTTATTTATGAAAATCATCTTATTGTTATGGTAAGTAAATTTCAGCAATTTATTATATACTACATGTGGGTTCGTCCTACGCACAGGAATCAAGCAGTCAGTTAAAACTTTATATATAATTCAGAATCAGAACTACTGGTGCACAGGTATGCATAAAGGCAAATTCTGGCAGCTTTAATGTGCAAAATCACCTTGGAAACAAATGTATAATATAGATCCAAAGTAATTTAGGCCTATATTGGTTAAGACATTACCAACACAAGTGGCTGATCTTAAAGTTATTATTATGGTAGCCGTAGAGCAATACCATTCATTCTAATATACCTACAATTATACAAATATGGGTATTTTATTCATTTATACCCATGCTTTTGAAATAAACCTCAAATGAATGAATGAATGAATATAGTTTATTCCAAAAAACATAGGCTACAAACTGTGATTATAAACTAAATAAAATATAATAGACAGAGACTTTTGTCACTAAAATATATTATACGAGTTTTAATAAAGCCAAAAATTATAACAATAAAATAAAGGAACTAGCAGACATAGGCAGTGCTACCTGTGTGTCTGCTAAGTTGCTGTCAAATAGAAAAAAGAAAAATTATTGAATTTTGGAATGGCAATTAAAAAAAGACAATAGGTCGATATTATTATTAGTTAAATAAGTGAATGTATTTCCATGAACACAGTGCTGGTAAGATAGCGCTTTATGATTTTCGTGGTGGCCAGGAGAGAGAGAGATAATTTGATAATTTATTTATTTATCCTGCCCTGGCTTAGACCGAAGGTCCACTCTTCCGCCAGGACAGGCTCCACAATTTTACAATGTTTTTTTCTAATTACAAACTGTTTAGGTTTAACCACTATTTATAGAAAACACAAATATAACATATTATACTATATTCTTATTTAAAAATAAAATTAAAGTATTCTTCCCTTTACTTTCTAAATAATACAACACTTAATAAAAAGAAAATATCGTTTCAGTTAATGTTCTACTTTACAGATTGTTTTGTTCTTAACTAGTATCGATTCAGCATTAACATTTTTACCTTTTTTGTAAAACTGTTTTCTGATTCTAAACTTTTAATACTATTGTCTAGTCCATTCAAAAGTCTTATTGACGTCACAACAAATGAATTTGTGTATGTTTGAGTCCTATGAATGGGAAATTGTAAGATTTCCTGTCCAAATCTAGTCGTCCTTTGATGAACGTTATGCAATGTTCGATAGTATTCATTTAAGTATTCAGGCTTAGAGTATTTAATTATTTTAAATGCTAAACTCAAAACTCTTAACTCTCTTCTTTCTTTTACTTTGAGCCAACCCAATCTCTTATAAAAAGGTGTAACGTGTTCGTCATACCTCATTCTAAATATGTACCGAATACAAGCGTTCTGTGCCTTTTGTAACTCATTAGTTAGTTCATTATTAATATCACAGTATGACACAATAGCATAATCAATCACAGGGAATACAAGAGTAGAAATCAGTTTTTTTCTTATATCAAAGGAGGGTTGAAACCTGAGTCGTCTAAACTGGTACAGATGTTTATAAATAGTCTTAACAACATGATTTACTTGGCTACTCCATGATAGGTTACTACATATTCTTAAACCTAAATTAACCACTTCGGACTCCAATCTTAAATCTTGATTGCTTATCTTAATAGGAGATATATTTTCTAATATAATTGAATTTAGTAACCTCTGATTTCCTACAATCATTGACTTACACTTACCTACATTCAAGTTCAAACCATGGTCTCTACACCACATGTTAATAGTTTCTAAATCAGCATTAAGCTTATTTACAGATTCGTTAATCTTAGTTAGCTCACAATGTATGTACAACTGCATATCATCTGCATATAGCATAGTTTGGCAAAACATTATATTATCACTAATTCTGTTTATATATAAACTAAATAACAAAGCAGACAATGTAGAACCTTGTGGAACCCCTACAGAGTTCAACATCCACTGTGATACATTTCCACTACGAGTTTTAATCTGTTGCAATCTATTAGATAAATAGGATTCAAACCATTTAACTGAGTTAACATTAAAATTATATGACTTTAAAATAGCCAACAACAAATCGTGGTTAACACAGTCGAAAGCACGACTGAAATCTAAAAGCGTAAGTACAGTTACACGTCTACAATCTATTGCTTTTCTCATATCATCGGTCACTTTAATAAGAGCCGTTTGGGTACTATAGAACTTTCGGTAACCTGATTGGTATCTAGACATAATATTATTACGATCTACAAAATCTCTTATTTGTGAGTACACTAATTTGTCCAACAGTTTTCCTAATACACATAAAATATTGATTGGACGATAATCTTTACATAGCAACGGATTCTTATTTTTAGGCAAAGGCACAATTAAAGCTTTTTTCCACTCACTAGGATAAACACAACAAGAAATTGAGTAATTGAAAATATGACACACTACATGTTTAATATCATCAAATATCAACTTTATAAATCTAACATGAATGCCATCGGATCCAACGGCATTCGATGATATCTGATTAAGAGCATGTGAAATTTGATCTACAGTAATATTATCAAAAACAAAAGATTCCCTATCTGCCCTCCATTGAGTGGTATACTCATTGATAAGATTATTATTGACTCGATTCTCAATCCCGCAAAAATAGGTATTCAAACCGTCTAAGTTTACAACTGGATCCTGTACAATATTAGCTTGTTTACCAGTTCCATGTGTCTTTAGGGCTGTCCAAATTTGCTTGTTGGTCTTATCAGGACTAAGAATTGAATTTAAATGTCTATTGCGTTCATCTCTAATCATACGCTTAATTCTATTCCTTAATAATCTATAGCTTTCCCAAATGTTTACATTTTTTGACCTTAAATACTTTTTATACAATACATCCCTTTCTTTCATAAGTTCTTTTATCTCACTATTTACCCAAGGGCACGCACGTCTTCGCTGATATATTTTTCTTTGTGGGACATATTGATCAAAAATTTGATTAATTTTACTATTAAAACATGAAACCTTATTGTCTAAAACATCATTTTGGTACAACGCAAACCAATCTATCTCTCTACATTCACCTCTAAGACTATCTATATCAATATTTTTAAAATCTCGGAGAGAGAGAGAGAGGATGTGTGTGTGTGTGAGTTTCGTTTGTAATGGTGGTAGTGAAGAGAGTGATGAGTGGATTGTAGGGTAAAGAGTGCAGTGGGGTGGAGGAGAGTGGTAAATTCGACTGCGAACAGTCCTAACAAAGTGCCAAGGTCAGTCAGTGCAAAGGTCGGATGCCGGTAGTCCGCCGTGATAATAGAGTCGGCCTCGTCGATATTTAAACTGAATAGGAAATCATTGACGCGGAATTTAAATACCTTTAATGAGTCACAATCAAGAAAATTGAAATCCCTAAAAATGTTGCATATGTTACGATAGACTAGGTGTGAAACATAGTATGAATTAGTCATAGAAAAAGTATAATTCACTTGAATTGTGTTGATTCCAACTCTAGAAGAATATGTTATATAAATGTGAAATATTTTGAAAAATGTTATTGTAATTTGTATGAATGTTTATTAATATTGATTTTACGTACAACTGGCGAACAGTGAGGACTCCTATTTCTTTAAATATGTTGTTGTTATTTTATTTTTGTCTTAACTAATAATAGAAATGATGAGGTACAGGTTATTGAATACAATGTTTAATGGTAAATAAGTGCTTACAAAATTTCTTCAGGGGTGGGGATTCGTGCAGACTGAATCAAAAGATTTCGTTGATGCCTAATTTAAAATTCCAATAAGTACGGCATAGGTTATAAATTGAATAATCTTTTAGAAACAATAAATAGGAAGGATTTTGATTTTGATGAATGGAGGTAAGTTGGGTCCAAATGGATGCTTAAGAAGTCTATAGTTTTAGTTAATAATAAATGGAATGTTCTCACCAATCTTCTGTAATAATAATTTTCTTCTTAATAATGTAGTTCTTTCTTCAGTTAATTTTGATATTTTGTCAATACTTTATTTTATAATTTCACAATTTACTTCACAAATAATATTTTCTGTGTGTTCTTCTTGGATACCTTAACTGCACTCTCACTATTCATTCATTGTTGTAAAACATTTTTTAAATTATGTGGTTCACATAAATAAAAACATGGTTGAATTTGATTGATAATCTTGAACCCAGATGGATGGTGTTTTGATTGGAGGATTTGTTTGAATAATAATTTGTTAAGCCAATGAATAAATTTTGATTATAAATTATATATATGTTGAGACAATATGGTTTTAATAATATTAACAATGAACATGAATAAATATTGAAAATATAACAAGATTGAGTTTGGAATTTAAATAAGGACTATATTTATAAACATTGGATTTTGAGTCATTACACTTTTTAGCAAGATTTGAAATTCTACTAGCATTTAAATCCTTTAAGTTATTAAGTAAATTAATACTTTAACCCATCCCAGGTGGCGGCTGCAGGGCAAAGCCCTACTCACTATGCGATCAATAATTTGGTTGAGGTAAAAAAATTGATTTAGAAATTTTGATAGTTTTCCTCTTTCTATCTGATGCTTACAGTTGATTATAGAAACCTTTTTTATCAAAATAATTTTCTTACAAGTTTTATGACCATAATTGTTGCAGGGTATATATACGTTCAGCGCTCGCTAAGATCCATATATATAACCTATATACATGTCTAACGCTTGTAAATTCTGTTTAGGATAAACACTTATTTTTAATAAACTGTTAAAAAGGTTCATGAAATAAAAAATATCATAATAAGAACAATAATAATGACTTTTTTATTATTACCAAAAGACAAAACAGATTTAGGTCTATCTAATCGTATTACAATAAAAAATATTAAATCGGAACATATAAACGTAATTTTCAATAAACAACACAACGAATTTCTAATCCACTGAATGTATTCCACTAATGTTATTTCACTAGGTTTACTTCACTCAAGAACACATAAACAGACTGTGACAAACAGGCTGAAACAAACAATAACATGACTCAGCCGGCAGGAGTCGCTAGGTGAAGGAGTACTGACGTCCTCTGATTGGCTGGTTCATTTCCCAGTTTTCTGTCTGTGCTATGACGTCATATTTATGTTCCATAAATTTGTAATAAAACATCTTTAATATTTCATCTCATTCTTCTGATTAAATATTCCTTTTGGTAGTTTCCTACTGGTAATTTGCCAATAAGGCCGAAATATCGATGTCGTAACTTTAGGAAAGAAGCTAAATTATGGGTCCCGCACTATGGGCTAGGTACGATACGCGACCACGGGATCTTGTAGTGCAGTGAACGTGTTACCACTTTAATTTTTTTATAGTTATTTTATTTTATTTTAGTCTTTTTTAAATCCTTAGTCTTTAAGGTATTTGTATTTTGACAATGTCACCTGTTTCATAGCATTGCTATATTATGTAAACGTTATGTGACAATAAAGATTTATTTATTTACCAGCAGAGTACCCGTCCTTCGCTATACTCAAGCTTTGCGTTTGCAATGAGGGAGGACACAGTTTGATAAAACTTGCTTCTTTAAATTGACAATATTCTATAGCAGCAACAAAAAACTGTGATACACAATGAGAACTAACTGTCAAAGTAGGATTGTTTACAGTTATGATGTTTTAATTTCATGAATAATTTGTGATATTTTGCGAATCTTTGATAATTTATTTTTTTCAATTGTTTAGGTGAAGTGGTAGAACATTATGGCTATATGGTAGATGTGTAAGAATCTTACACATCTACCATATAGCCATAATGTTCTACCACCTAAACAATTGAAAAAAATAAATTATCAAAGATTCGCAAAATATCACAAATTATTCATGAAATTAAAACATCATAACTGTAAACAATCCTACTTTGACAGTTAGTTCTCATTGTGTATCACAGTTTTTTGTTGCTGCTTAGCTCAAATTAGCTGTTTTCATAAATGCAAAAAAAATATAGTGCTGCACCCTGTGGGCAAATCTTATAACTTTTTAATGCTTTTGCATATCATAGAACCAACTTTTTTAGTTGAAACAGCTGACTAAATTCTTCTGACTAAATATAGGTATAGTAGCTATATTTTTGTAAAGTTTGAGCCCAGTTGGTTCAGTAGTTTGTAAGCTATTGAGTATCACACACAGACGGACACCATTAGATTTTTATAGTACAGTATACTAGTATGGATTTTTAAATAAGAATGATAAAATTATTTAATAATTGATTTTAAAAGAAGTAGTTAACCTGAAAAATCTCAAATCTATATTTATAAAAGAGGAAGTTTGTATCTTCTATATATATAAAAGGCAAAGCCCTCACTGACTCACTGACTGACTCACTTACTCACTCACTCACTCATCACTAATTCTCCCAATGGGAATTTACCTAGGAGGCTGAAATTCGGTACACCGATTCTTTGGGCATTAAATAGGAAAACTAAGTAGTTTTTATTCTGATCGGGCTTTCGGGCTCCGCCCCAGTGGCTCTGGAGTTTCCCATGTTAACCTTATGATTTTTCATATTTAAAAGGAAATAATGAATCTTAACAGCTGTTTCAATTAAACATGTTGGTCCTGTTCTATGATTTTCAGTAGCATTAAAGTTACAAGGATTACCAACAGGGTGCAGCACTATTTTTTTATTTTTCTATTTATGACACACCTAATTTGCAACCAAAAGGTGAGTGAGCGTAGCGAACGAACTTCAACCTGGAGGCGAGTTAGCATAGCGAACGAGCTCCAACTTAAAGGTGAGTGAGCGTAGTGAACGAACTTCAACCAGGACGTGATTGAGCCATGCGAATACTTATGAAGTAAAACGGGGCAAAGCCCGCGGGTACAGCTAGTATATATATATTTGGACGTTATGGACTCCGAAACCGTTTGACAGATTGTAATGAAACTTTCAGGCATTATTAAAGATTATTCAAGGATGGTTTGTGTGAAGTTTAGTGCAGATCCGTCAAAATGGCTCTGCCCCAGTGGCTCTGGAGTTTCCCATGTTAACCTTATGAGTACTTATATTTAAATGGAATTAAAGAATCCTAACAGCTGGTTCAACTAAACAATTTGATTTTGTGATGTTCAATAGCATTAAAAAGTTAATAGGTTTACAAACAGGGTGCAGCTCTATTATTTTTTTAAATTTATGACAACAGCTAATTTGTATCCAAAAGGTGAGTGAGTGTAGCGAACGAACTTCAACCTGGAGGCAAAGTTAGCGTAGCGAACGAGCTAAACCTGAAGGCAAGTGAGCGCAGCAAACGAGCTCCAATCTAAAGGTGAGTAAGCGTAGCAAACGAGCTTCAACCAGGACGTGATTGAGCGATGTGAACGAGCTCATCTTGAAAATGAACGAGCATTCGAATGGTGTTTTTGGCCTCTGGGGACATCAAAAAGAAAAAGTAAATCGGTCCTGGGCCTAAGTCTTACCATGAGACCTACGGTAATAGCTACTTCCCTATAGGGAAATTTGCTAATAAATAACTTAAATACATGATTAGGAATTCACACTCAAATTTAATGTGAATTTGTTCAAAAAATGTGTTAGCCAATACTACAAAATGGAAAAAACATGCAACAATACGTAACTACACATTTTGTTATAGTAAAGAAACAAATTTTTAATATTTAGTTTTTATATTTGTCACTTTTACTGTCTGTGTCCTACCTTTTTCAGCTGTTGGGTTTCCTGATCAGAAATGCTTTAAAAGTCATAACAATTTATTAGTTTACAGGTTACAAAAGTACCAAGTCAAATTTTTTGTTTCTGCCTACACATTTTATATGTTTTAAATAGAAATTGCAATCATTTATTAAATAAAATTTGAAAAAGAACTATGGATGAAAAACAGTAAGTATTTGACTTAACATTTAAGTTTTAGTTTTAGTGGAAGGAACAAATTAAATGACTGCTGTTTGGGAGCTAAAATTAGTTTATTAGGGAAACTAAACCACACGCGGGAAAACACCGAATAAACATTTATCAATCTGGGTTTACAACTAACTACTGGATTGTAGGGGCAATAGCCCCTATATATATTCTAGTACCTACGGTAATTATTTTGTACAAATCATTAGCCTCATGGGTTACCCTACCTTGAATTATCGTTTAACATTTTTGTATATTACGATATGTATAATATTGATTAGATACCGTCATAATGCATTTTTATGTCTGCTCTGTTCAAAATAAAAATTCCAAAGGACATGCGGGGTGTTTATAATATAAAATTTCTAGTCATAATACAACTAAGGAACATTTTCCAATAATAATCTTCATGACTAGGCCTATTAATTAAATCTATATAGATTTCTTTAAATATAGACAAATTCACTTAGAAAAACACATAGTGATGATGTCATCATCCAAATTGTAAAATGTTAATTCTATAACAAAATCTCACTGAAAACATTTGTTGTATAGTATCCATTTTGGTCGATTCCTTGGTCTTTATTTGGTTCTAGTAGGCCTACTATTTTAACATCATCTGGCCGCTTTACCCGGCTAAAAGCAACATAAAGTTGACCATGGGTAAACACTGGGTTTTTTAAATAAATGCCAACTTTTGTGAAGGTTCGGCCTTGCGCCACAATTTCACCTAATCAAATTACGCAGTGCACCACAATGAATGCACCCATCGTTCATTGGTCCTACGCTGTGTAATCATAGTGCAATCTCATTCAAAAGTGGTACCGGTAATCTATACACAGGAATAACTTCATGTTCATCCGATGCTCATTTGTTCTTCTTCTGTTAATATTGTGCCAAATCAGGCGCCTGTTGTTCTCATTTCGAGGAACAACCTCTGCGTGGCGGCCTACCTCTGCATGGTGGTCTTCTGACATTAGGTATACATTATTACTGTGCAAAAGAACAAAAGAACAATCCATTGTAAAGTATAAGTTCAAAAGTGTCAAGTTTTTTGTTCAAAATATTTTATCTAATTTTCACTTTGTGTTGTTTACTACCCCACTAAAAATTTTACAATAACAAAATAATGCACATTCAGGTGTAGTTATGGTTTTCAATTTACATAATCACAGCTGTGTTTACACTAAATAAAAATACATAAAATTAGATTCCTATGCTATTTAAATGTGAATTATTTCATTCTGTAACAACCTTTTGGTGCATAATTAAGAAAAATGAATAATTTTCTCCAAAATTCCATGCCCAGACCTTTAAAATGAGACCTCTCCCAGCTTTCTTCGGCCTCCCGTTCACTCACAATTTCATTGTAAAATTTTGGGCTTACGGAATTAGATATATAGATTTATTTACAAATATCAATTTAGATTTACAATTTGGTTATAACACTTCAAAGTTTTACATGATTTAAAGTGGGTGGGTGGACGGACAAGCTGTTGCGTAATTAACACTTCTACATCTCACGCGCAACTACTTAAAAATCAACGCAGTGCTTAAGGCCTGCGGTGTCTCAGCCAATCAGAGCATCAGAGTTGGTCAAGGCTAGTGCCATTGGCCGTGCTGATGTCGGCGGGACGTACATTGTCTGAGGCTGGATCGCACTATTCCAGCTTCATAACCTGCTCACAGTTATAATACAATGATTTGATTTCGGTCTTTAGCGCTTGGAAGAAATCAACGAAGAGTTGGCGATGCTCCCTGATGTTATGGAGTATTATTCGGCCTGTTTTTAATTAGTCACAGCCGCCCAAAAAGTGTGTGGTTATTGGTTGGCAATAATCGTATAATAATAAAATATCCCAAACTATCTCTTGAATTTGCTGATACAACCACCCGTTGTTGTGGTGATGCACAAGGAAGGACACACCCCACACCTGACACCAATGTAAGAGTCCGGCCCGAATGGTGGAAGGAACAAATGAAATGCCTGCTGTTTGGGAGCTAAAATTAGTTTATTAGCGACAATAAACCACACATTGCAAAAACATCAAATAAACATTTATCAATCTGGGTTTACAACTAATTTAGTTACATTTATCAATTTAGATTTACAATTTGGTTATAACACTACAAAATTTTACATGATTTAAAATGGGCGGGGGGACGGACGAGCTACCATTAACATTTCTACATCTCACACGCAACTGTTCAGACATTATTTCCTGTAGTCCACACCCATGGCTGTCTGCTAGGATGACATCCTTTCGTCTACCTCCCTCCTCATCTGGTTCACAGTAAGGCTCGGTGTCTAGCACCCCTATATTTATATTTTTATTGAGGGACATTTACTCTCCATTGACATTGGTGACTCTAACCCATCAGCACTGACTGCGCACTCTGGTTAAGGTGCGAGCCAGAAAAATGCCCTTCTGTGTTATTTCTACGGGCTGAGCTATTACGTCCCTGCCCTCCACCTTGGGTGCTGGAAACTCACTCAACCTTACTTCGACGTTATTTTTTCACAGTGTGGCGGTAGGACGACCTTGGTATAGTTGTATACAAAGGTTTCTCTAGGGGTGGGGTCGTCCTCGCCACTTTCTCGGTCACTCGAGGGGGCCCCGGGGCCGGTTCCAAAACCGGGCCGGGCTCCGTCGCCTCACGCCTCAGATCAGGTAGGTACACTATCACCCTTTAAGAGACGATTCAGCCAAATTTCTCATCATGGGTGTGACATTCTTATCATGTACCAATTTTAAATTATACAGACATTTTAAGATATTACAATAGTTTTAATGTTAAACTGAAAACTGTATGACATTGAAACTTAACTTACACTTAACAAAAGAAATACAAGCTTGTTTATACAAATAGTTTTTATTTGTTCAAACCATGAAGTTAATATTTGCAAATAGAACTGTTTAAATCTGCAGATGAGCTGAAATTTCCAATCGATTCATGTTCTGTTTCAGGAATAATACCTACTTAAACAAACAAACAAATATAATGAAAAAAGAGCTTGACATTTTAATTTCTAGATATACAAAAGAATTGGCTGAATTAGAAGAGAGAGAAGACAGTTTAATAAGAGAAATAGACATTTTTGAGAATCTTAAACTTTGTTTGACAGTTTGGTACGTTTGGAAGGGGGTTTCAGTGGTAGGAATGTCTTCAAGTGACATTAATGTGTTCGTACAAAAAGAAGCTGAAGAAGCAAACAAAAAATTCATGCATTTTGATGGTATTTTGAATCAACTCCAACAAGCAGTTCAGCTAATAAAAGACGAAGAAACAGAAATTAAGAAAAGGATATATGAGCTTAAATTATTAAGTGATAAACATGATAAATGTCTTGATAAAATGCCGGAAACAATCCTACCAAACAACCAAGAACAGAAAATCGAAGAAATGAAGAATAAAAAGGAAATTTTGTTAAAACATGAAGAAGAAAAGTCAAAAGATTTGTTAGAAACTGACCAAATCGATTGGAAAAAGGCTTGTGATGATTTACTACAACAAGTGAATGAGCTAAAAAAAGATTTAAAAGATTCTGCAAAAAGTCTAAAAGAAAGTGAAAGCTATGCAAAACATTTAGAAAACAAATACTTGAGGTTAGAGATGGAACTTAAAGAAAAAATTGAACTGTTGGAATCTAAAAATGATGAATTAATATTACAGAAAGAAGTCCGAAAAAGTAAAGAGGTTCTCTTATCAATGCAAGAAGCTCTAGCAGAAGTACAGTCATTAAAAGAATCACTGTCTAATTTGACAACACACAGCAAGGTATCATTTCGTTGCCCTTAGGCATACATAATAGTTAATAGTTAATATTACATCTAAATATAATTCTATAGCATGTATTATTCCATCGTGTATGGTTGTTATCACTGAAGGTAGGACACATTTTCTAACTTCGATGAAACCAAGTCAATTTTGAAGCTTATTGTATAAAAATGTTATAAGAACACATTTTAATTTCTCAATTTCGAATAGTTTCTGAGATACCGTAGGGATGTGAAACAATCCTATGTAACTGTAACCCACTTGGTGTTAGTTTGCGGGGGATACAGCACGCTTGCTGTATTTTCCCGCAGTAGCTGGATCATCTTCAAGATCACATACTGCGGAGAGGTGACTGTGTTGGATTTCTGAAGTTTGCTTCCACGCTCAGTCCCTGACCACACAGGGGGTGTCGACACGCAGTGTCGCTCAAGTGAACCTGGCCTGATGGATATAGGCCTAAATGTAAATTTTTCAGAAAAGCATTTTTCGGTCCAGCCAACTACTATAGGTCTACATGTTTTGTCCCAAAAAACAGACTAAAGACTAATAGACTAAAGAGTGTTGAATAGGCATTTATGGAAGTATAAAAGCAAAAATTACGAGCGAATCCTAGTAACAGTTTCATGTCCCACAGGGTTAGGAGCTTTTGCCTATCATCACATTGATATAAGGTTGGATTTGAGAAACCCATTGCATGTGCATCAAGATTGCTTAGAAAGAATTTAGAAATGCTTTTAAATTTAAATTAATTTTATTTCATTGCCATTAATTTTAGATTTAAGTAAAGGCTTAAATAACCCCGCCGCAGCAAACCTGCAGACTTAGAAAATTTCCATTTAACTGGCTGAATTTCTACTCAAATATTCCCTTAAAAGTGTCAGATTTATTTCCTAATTAAATAACATTAATTTTAATGAGTACTTATAGGTTTGCTGCTACAGGCAGTGTATATTGAGGTGTGTTTTTTTATTGAAATGTTGATAGCTTAGTATGAAATAAATAAGATGGCAAAATGTCATTAAAATGTCCTATACTCTAATACGAGCAATGTTTGCTTGTATGTATGTATGCTTGCTTGCTTGCTTGCAGAAAGATCTTGGAAACGGCTCCAACGATTTTCTTCAAATCTTGTAAATAGATTATTTCTGGCCTAAAAACGAGTTTACTGCAGTTAGAACTGCCAACAAAAATCTAATTACTTAGAAAAATGAAACTGAAAGTCACATTTTTTTAACATTAGTCTTATGGGTTGCTAAGTAACCATCTTGGCTGAATTAAATAACAAGGAAAAAGTAAGCAAAAGACTTGTAAGTTGTCTATCCACAGTATACTAGCAAAATAAAATACAGTACAAAAGGAAAAACATCAGTTGTTACTATTGAGCAAAGATTATACTGAAGATTACTCGATACATTGTAGTCAAGGGTAGCAGTATGGGGTGTGGGATCTGTTTATGACGATTAGATTACGGTATCTGCAAGCCTTAAATGCTATGGGAAGAGAGGGAAACAGGTCCGCGACGTAGGAAGTGGTAAAGAAATAGTCAAGGCAAGCTGTCCGGAGTGCGGGAACTGTTTATGACGATTAGATTAAGGTATTTACAATCTTAAAATGCTATGGAAAGGGAGGGAAACAGGTTCGCGACGTAGGAAGTGGTGAAGGAAGTAGTCAAGGCGAGTAGTCCGGAGTGTAGGAACTGTTTTTGAAGATTAGATTAAGGTATCTGCAATCTTAAAATGCTATGGGAAGGGAGGGCAACAGGTTTGCGACATAGGAAGTGGTGAAGGAAGTAGTAAATGCGAGTAGTCCGGAGTGTAGGAACTGTTTTTGAAGATTAGATTAAGGTATCTGCAATCTTAAAATGCTATGGGAAGGCAGGGCAACAGGCTCGCGACATAGGAAGTGGTGAAGGAAGTAGTAAATGCAAGTAGTCCGGATTGTGGGAACTGTTTTACAGGCCCGGTCTGGCTCCATTGGAGGCCTTTGGCTAGATGTTGATTTGAGGCCCCCAGCCAGAAATAAAACAAGGACCATGGGGTGCTCTCACGGCAACAATTAGTTAGCATATATGTTTACTGCATGCTGCAGGTGCATAAAAGGGGCCTAAGGTGGTTTTAAATGCTTACAAGTTTTTGATAATTTGATTAAATTAATAATTGCAAAATTTCAATAAATTAAAAATCTTTGTATTTATAAATTTAATTCCAAGGTATCAATCAATTTAAATTTGATATAAAATTTGCTCGTATTTCTATTCACCTCTATAAGTTAGCTGTCATAAAATTTAAAGGCTTATTCTTAAAATTGTTTCAAGTCTTCAATTTAAAAATAAGACCAAAACCTAGTTCTTGGAGTTTTTGCCATACATGGTAAAAAAGCATATCATGTACCACTTTTGAATTTTGAATACATCTATGAATGAAGCACATTTACTGTTTATCACACATTTACTCCATAGTTGTACTTCAGCAACAAAGACAAACATAAATAATCAAAAGTATTTTAATTTAAATGTTGTAAGGCTTACAAAAAACTTCTGATGATTTCTGCCTGCCTGTTTGCGACCTCTCATTGTTAGCAGAATCGGAACTGAAACCAGCTAACCTGCTAACCATAAGCTCAAACAGTTTGACTTTAATTTGTTTTTATTTTGGAAGATTTCCTATCCATTTTTATTTTACTTTCGCCACTTGGGTGCACACGTTTCATTTTATAAACTGAACAATTCACGTGTTAGTATCTTTCAAACTATACGTCATAACCCACTACGTAGGAATGACTGGAAACAGTCGTCGGTGATTAAACTAGTAGTAACACTATACTCGACCTTTTGGTGTTGAGGCTGACTGGTCGAATAAAATCAGTTGTAGATAAACTGACGGATAGGAATTGGGAACAGTTTTTAGGGATGATACATAAAATATAATTGCATTTATTTTTGTTGTTAAAAAAACTATAAAATTGCCAAGACACTGTGTTTTATATACTGATGATTTAGATTTTAATGCCTGTAGTAAAATCTGTTTTAAAAACCAGGTAACAAATAAATAGGAATATTTGTTATACTGATTTAGAGACATTAGGCCTACTGAATAATTTAAATCTTGCAGTCATGTAATAAACTAAAAATGTTTTATTAATTGTAAATTTTGTCATTCTATTACGTTTTATACCAAAGTAACAAAATATTAATGCAAATGACAACAAACAATAGGAATCAAGCGGGAAAACTCCAATGTTTAAAGCAAAATTATATTCGATAATTTTCTTTGCAATGACTGAAACAACTGCACCGATTGAACGCCACCAGTTGTTGTTGTAGTGGAATTCACTCGGTTTTTTATTCGACTGAAAAAACCACTGGTTTTAAAAACAACCGATTGACAAATTGACTAGTCGATAGTTTTTTCCAGTCGGTTGTCCCATCACTATACTAGTACAAGCGCTAAGCTGTCTGCTTGAGTCCAGACACCAGACAAGTTAAGGGCGCAGACGCGCCGGCACGGCAATGTCTCGTCACTACCGCAGAGTGTTGGGCGCTGAGCTGATTCGAACAGTGCAAAGGCAGTGAGATCGGTGACTATCCTCTAGTACCGAGTGATTATCACTTTCAATTAAAAAAAGAGTATTGTTTATTTAAAATAGTTTTTGCAAGACTACGTCGCTGTGAAACAGTTAAACAAAATATTTTTTTATTATAACTAAATTTTTTTTAATTAATTTTTTTGCTTTTGAGGCAAGTGGTGAAGGAAGTAGTCAAGGCGAGTAGTGCGGAGTGTGGGAACTGTTTTTGAAGATAAGATTAAGGTATCTGCAGTCATAAAATGCTATGGGAAGGGAGGGAAACGGGTCTGTGACATAGGAAGTGGTGAAGGAAGTAGTCAAGTCGAGTAGTGGGGAGTGTGGGAACTGTTTTTGAAGATAAGATTAAGGTAACTGCAATCATAAAATGCTCTGGGAAGGGAGGGAAACGGGTCCGAGACATAGGAAGTGGTGAAGGAAGTAGTCAAGGTGAGTAGTCCTGAGTGTGGGAACTGTTTTTGAAGATTAGATTAAGGTATCTGCAATCTTAAAATGCCATGGGAAGGGAGGGAAACAGGTCCGCGACGTAGGAAGTGGTGAAGGAAGTAGAGAAGGAAGTAGTAAAGGCGAGTAGTCCGGAGTGTGGGAACTGTTTATGACGATTAGATTAAGGTATCTGCAATCCTAAAATGCTATGGGAAGGGAAGGAAACAGGCCTACGACGTAGGAAGTGGTGAAGAAAGTAGTAAATGCTGGTATCCCAGAGTGTGGCAACTGTTAATGACGATTAGATTAAGGTATCTGCAATCTTAAAATGCTATGGGAAGGGAAGGAAACAGGCCCACGACGTAGGAAGTGGTGAATGAAGTAGTAAAGGCGAGCAGTGTGGAGTTTGGGAATGGATTAATGTATCTGCAATACTAAAACTGCTTTCATAGTAAACTAATGATTTTACCCGAGCAAAGCTCGGTCCCCAGGTACTATAACAAGCAAACTACAACAGTTTATTTATTCTCCATAAGAATAACATGGGAATTTTTAATTTACATTTTTTTAATTATCTCCGTAACCGTTAGGCATACAAAAACGCTCCAATAAATTATTTTTATTTTTAAGTTCTACAAAATGGTTTGAAAGGAAATTGTGAAATTTTGTGTTTTTAGTAAAAAAAAAGGGAAAACCCAATTTTTACCCCATAAACCCCTGTTCCCATAGTCCGATCATAGTGGTTCGCGAACTCGTTCGAATAAACGTAGGTTTACAAGTTTGTGCCAAATTTCATCATTTTTGCTTGAGTTATCGCGCTAACGGACACATATATCTATCTATATCTATATATATATTATATATATACTATTATAAACAGGGCCGGATTTAGCATTTTGGCGCCCCTAGGCCCAATAGTATTTCCGCCCCCTATTCTGGTCACAGTTTCTTTTCTACAAACCTTTATTAAAAACTATATCATGCACAGGCCT